GAGTGTTCAGCATATAACAGGTGCCTAATGATTGAACATTATTTAATCAGACATTAGGAGGGATCTATCTCTGTGTTCAGCAAGGTCAGTTTCTCTCTTATCCTCATAGTCAAGCAATGGTATATACACACACAATACATTATCACAACACATTATGGAGTAAATACTCCTATTTGACTGTTGATTTAAAACATAGCTGAAATGGAGCACTGTTAGCAGAGCAGACCCTATCTATATTCATAATATCTAATACACCCTGACCCATTTGCTGAAAGTACTCTGAAATATTTCCACTTGGGAAGGCTTTAGAGTTCTGTATTATTTATAGGAATGTGCTTAGTGAATTCATGCTGATTCTGTTTGTATCTGTCAAGACTAACATATTCATATACAGATCTTCAACATGGCAGGAAGTTCAGCTTAATAAAAAAAGGTGTAGATTTATAATCAGGCGGAGTGTGTTAAAATCTTGGCTTTTCCATTTAGACACGTGAGTTATCCTCGCTGTGTGAGCCTGTTTTCTTGCCTCTAAAACAGATATATATTCTTACAGAGCATTATAAAGACTGCTATGTATACTTCCTGGTGTTGTGCACATAAAGCACTGTAGAAAGGTTAAATCCTTGCCCATTTGCTTTACCTCACCTCACCCTTTAAATAAAAATCACTGAAATTTGTGTAGTAGGAAAATTAACAGCATCCCCAACCTCTGTAATAGATAATCATTTTCTGTAACCCAGATGACAACTGAGGTCATGATGTCCTTTGGATTGTAAATAAAGTGAGCATCAACTCACTAACTCACACTGGGAATCCCTGAGAATGCATCGAGATGGCTGGACTGGTTTCACCTATGCCCTCAGGAAATAGCTAGTGTCTTAGCCTGAGATACCTCTGGCAGATCTGTCTTCAGGTTCCAGTATCCACTGAATTCTTGAATCCCTTGGGTGCCATGTGCTGTAACACTATTCCCTTCTGCCAGGGAAAGTCAGATCAATTGCATAGCCCTTTCTCCTTGATTTTTCCCAACTGCACACACAGGTCTATGTGTCTAGCAGACTTTCGTTTAGGTCTGGGTATTCCTGCAGAGACAGCTCAGATTGCAGCTGTGCACACAATTTAAACCTGAATTTTAGACATCATTCTTTCTTTTTTTATTTTGTTATTGTTATTTATTTTTTACATTATTGTTCATTTTTAAATAATATTTGTCCCCCCCAGGTGTAGTCCCCATAGAATTTCCTTCACCAATGCACCTGTGCACCATCACCAAGTCCCGTGTGCTTTTCCCTCCCTCCTTCTGATCCCTCTTCTTCCTCCGCCCCTGCAGGATGTTGCTGATTTTTAATTGTCTGTTTTTGTTTTGTTGTGTCGTGTACTGTTATTATTTTTTTACACAGATGTCTTACTCGGTTCCCCTATGTTCCTCCTATAAGTGAAACTATCCAATATTTTTCTTTTTCCTTCTGACTTATTTCACTGAGCATAATTCCTTCTGGCTCCATCCACATTGCTGTGAATGGCATGAGTTTATCTCCTTTGATTGCTGTAGACATCATCCTTTCTTTTAGCTACTTTTTTTTTTTTTGCCTGTTGTTCACATATTATGGTCTCATAGCACATTGCTTGACCCTCTTCTCTCCCTGAAGTCAACTTCCAACTCCAGTTTGGTTGTCTCCTGTCTCCTAGGTTTTTCCTGCAGTGCCTAAGTACTCCCCTTTATAATGCAAAACTCCACTGCATTCTCAGCTTCTGCCCAACTTCCACTTTTCCAAAGATGCTGTAGACTTCCATAACGAAAATCTTCTAATCCAAGCACTTGTTTACTCCTTTGTTCTTCAAATGACTTCCATGAACCATTTCCTTAAATCATATCTTTAAATGTTCCCAGGAACTAAGAGAAGCCTTTTTTTTTTTTTTTACTCCTTCCTCTGTGAGTGGAAGAGAACATGAAAACATTTTTTTTCTTTGATATAAATTATATTACTCTCTCGAGGGAGTAGGCATAGTTTAATCAGTTTTAGTGTTAATAACTTTTTTTCCCTCCTACATACAATTCCCTTTAAAACTAATTTTCCTGCTATTACATCTTTTTTTGAGAAATAAGTTAAATCTTATTAACCTTTGTTTCCTCATCTGTAAAATTGAAAAATTGAATTAGATGATCTCCAAGGATCCTTGTTTGTTTGAAATAATTATTTGACTAATTATATTTGTTTTCTTTAGCACTTATATACATGTTTATCAGTTATCAATTAACAAAAAAAATTCAAGTTATTTTGCTGTTACTTGATAAGTCAAAATTCTAATATCACTGTTTTGTTCTCCCCTACTCAGTTAGTTGATTCACCAAGAAGCACTGGTTTTAGTTAGAATCAGAGATTCTTAGTTTGAAGCTAAGTGCATCACTTGTAGATGGTCACTAGAGAAATATTATCTATTTCTGACCTTTGGATAGTTTAAAAATGTAAAAGAGAATGGTGATAAAAAAAACTATTGCAAGGAGATACTGTGAAGAATATGAGATTTTGTGAAAATAGTTGTGAATTTTAAGGCACTATCAATGTTAATTTGAAAGGAGGAAAGTAGTGACAGAAAAAAGGGAATGTAAGAGGCAAAGTAATAAAATGATTCAGATTGCCACAAAATTAGTCATTGTTCTGGCAACTTCTTTTGTAATAAGAGAGCTGTTGGAGGAAGGAATAGTATTATGAAATCTTGCCTCAGCCTCCTATGGTCTGTTTTAGACATTCTATACACTGTTCAATGTGATGATGGTGGATTTCCTTTTTTCTACATGAATTTTTAAATGATCCCAAACTGAGTAATTTGCCATTCACTGTTGAGCTCCTATTTGAATAGCCTTTGCCTGGTGGAGCCTCCACCAGTTGCCTCAATTATCATGATACTTGTTCCCAATCCCATCACTTTTGTTCTAGTCTCTGCTGAAAACAGAATTCACCTTCATAAATAGACTTTGGCTTAATTACTCTTGCTTTTGCTTTTTTTTTTTTTTCTGTTTCTAACATGTGAATCTTAACTTCCTCCTCATTAACTTTTCTTCCACTTACAAATGTGTTCCCATCTCTACAATGACAAAGAAAATTGGATAAAACTATTGTCAACCCAAGAGAAATAGCCATGCTGTAATATAATTAGGAAGGTATTTATTCAAAAAATGGAATCATGATTTGAGTGAATGACCAAAGGGCAGTCCCAAGGTGTGTGTTCCCTCTGGTTAGGGCACAGGGGAGTTTGAAAGGATCAGATTAGGAGTGGTCTGTGGTTTGGTCAGTTGTGGTATTGTTTTTGCATTGGTTCCCAATCTGTTTGTCTATCTGGGATTAGTGGGGAATATCTCCTGAAAGACCGTAGGGTGGTGGTCGGCTGTGAATTGAACAATGTCTCTTGCTTTTTCATCATCACCAAGTGAATGGCAGAGTCAACTGTTTAATCTTCACCTACAAATCCCAACATAGCAGCTTAGAAACAAGGTGAAGTCTGACTCATAACAGCTTCCATGTTTTGTTTTGTTTTTTTCCCCTTTGGTCTTCCTTTACCTCCTGGGGAGATTTTTTTCTACCTTGTACTTGTCTCTTCCTTCCTTTACAATTTACACTCTGAATTTCACACTGAGTCTTTAATCATCCTCCAAGAAACCTACTTAATACAGAATTAGAGATGCAGATATTTTATTGGGGGCTATATCTGTTTTGGACAATGGGAAAGAAAGCAAGAGTAGGTAGGATGAGTCTTTCGTCTGTGACCAAACTGGACATCTCTGAAGGGATTAAAGGAAGGGAGGAAGATTGCATAGAAACCTCTCAGACTGCCATGCCATTTGAGAAAAATTTAACCACACACAACAATGGGGCAGTCTTGAGTAAAGAATGTGCACAATAGGAGTTTAGATTCAGGCAGGACTGACTCAGCTCTGCACCCCCTTGGTGCTCAGCTAGCTCTACTGTTTGCCCCTGGTTTTCTATAAGGGAGATAGAGTACCTCATTGTCACTGATGGTCACAGGCAACTGTCACTCTGGTGAAGTTACTTTCTCAACACTTAAAAATGACCATCACCTCTTCTCTATATTTGCAACATTTGGTAAACTACTCTTCTTATAGACTGGCAGCAATTGTGGTTCTCTGCAAGTTTGCTCAATCACAGACTTATAAATATTTTATAAAAGTATTGCAACCAGTGCTATATTTCACTTGACCTATGTGGGTACAGCCATTTGCAAGTTTATCCTGCTTTCAGCAGAAGGGTACAAAAGCATCAAAAATTGACATTCTGTATTAGTTGTTTTTTTTTTTAAGATTTATTTTTTATTTATACAATAGCTGGGGTACAGGCCAGAGGCACAGGAGGGTGAGAGGATTCACCAGAGACAGAGTGGGGACCAGAACAGGCAGACGAACCAAAAGCACTGCTGAGGGGAGCAGCGGGCATGACAGGAGAGGTCTGCCATACCATGTGGTTTCTCCCTGGCTGGCCAGGAATCGAACCCACGCTGTGAGACAGCCTCACAGCACTGTGCTTAACCCGCTGTGCCACCGGGGAGGCCACTATTCTGTATTAATTTTAAATGTGAAGAAAATATTCTATAATTCATAAGCCTTAGTAACAATATTTTACTTAGGGCCAATTTTTTTTGAGTGCTTAATATATGTCAGACACTGTTCTGGATGTTTTATAAATGTGAACTTTTTCATCTGTATTATCATCCTTTGAGGTAGATTCTATTAGTACTGACATTTAACAGATGAGATGGAGGCATAGAGAGGTTAAATATATTCCCCAAGATCACATGACAGAAAGCCATGAGATCAGAGTTCAGAACCAGACCATGGGTCTCCAGAACCCATATAGCAATACAATTTCTGGGCAAACAATGCTCAGAACACTTTTTTTCTATAAAGTTGTTAACTGCAAAATGTTGACCCAGTATCTACTTTTAAGCATATGCATCATGCAACAATATTTTTTTCTGTCTTTCAGGTCCTTGCATTCCTAATCCTTGCCATAATGGAGGAACCTGTGAAATAAGTGAAGCGTACAGAGGGGACACATTTATCGGCTATGTTTGTAAATGTCCCCGAGGATTTAACGGGATTCACTGTCAGCACAGTAAGTTATCTACCATTGTGTTTTTATTATTATTGATTACAAAATATGCAACTCATTATCATTCTTGTTCAGAGTAGAATGATAGATTTTTTCAAATAGCAGAGTCCTAACAATTGACTCATGCTGTTTCTGACCCACTGAAAATACCACATTCCTAACTGAGGACTCCCAGTGGCATGGGGGAGGGGCAGGCTGGCAGTTTCATATTAGCCCTTTTCGTTATTGTTATTATTATTTCATCACTGTTCAGCCATACTTGCAAAATATTGCCTTATATATCAAACTGCTGTCTGTCTTTTTCTTTCATACTTGTCCTGCAGCTGTCTTCTTCCAGATTCCCACATGTTATTCTGTTGATTAGGTTCAGAAACAATACACAGGAAGAAAAAAAAAAGGAAAGAAAACTGTCCACTCTGCCTGTCTATAAACTGGTTTCCTTCTGTACTTCTTATTGGCATTTTTATTGTGAAAATATTTGAAAACTCAACAAGTGTGTTAGCTGCACTTCTCTCTTTTACCCCTACTTTTATTTTCCCAGGAAGTTAAACAAAGTAAGTACACTTGGGATGATTTCTTCTTTGAAGCCTGGCTTAACCTAAATGTCACATTAATTGCTGCAGGGATTCGGTTGGGATAGTCTCTTCCCTCAGTCTTGAATGAAGGCTAAGGTAGGGATTAGCAAGAGGGGGAGAGAGAGGAACAACAACTGGTGGAAAAAGTGTGGAAGGAATATATGAGCCCTGAATTATGGAATGATGATTAAGACCGTGGTGTCAGGAATGAGTAAGGAAAAGCTGGATAGGTCAGCCAGAACCAATTTTCCAACCACCAGACAAAAAAAAAAAAAAAATTAGAATGTCTCCTGGCTCCAAAGTATAAAGGACTTTTTTTTTTTTTTTTTTTTTTTTTTCACTTTTCCAAAGAATCGCCATGGCCAGGATTTGTGGAATTTCTGTAGACTCTTGCTTTAGACTGCTTGTAATTGTCCATAGAGCTCAGATTACCAGCAAAGAACTGTGATGCTACGATTTTTCTCAGAATGAGTTTGGAGGTGCCAAAGTACATTCTTTCTTACTGTAGCCTGGAAACACCTCAAAATATCTCCACAAATACAGAGCTGGGTGCCCAGAATCTTGGCCGCCTTGACATTCAGTTAATCCTATCAAGAGAATATTATCAGCCCTTACTTATTTATACAACTTTGTGATAGGGTATCAGAAGCAGTGCCCAGAGACAGTGTGGGCATCCCCCTTGTGCACCTCAATTCAGGACTATTTTTTTTTTAATTTTTTTAAGATTTATTTATTTATTTACACAAGCACTGGGTAAGGTCAGAAGCATGGGAGGGTAAGAGAATTCACCAGAGCCAGAGTGGAGGACAGAACAGACAGACTGACAAAATACACTGCTGAGGGGAGCAGCGGGCAAGACAGGAGCCGTCTGTCGCAACATGTGGGACCCTCGCTGGCGGCCTGGGGTGGAACCTGCTCTGCAGAGGCTGTGGGCAGCTTCCGTATCCCAGCGCTCAACCACTGCACCACCTGGGAAGGCCCTCAATTCAGAACTCTTTGCATAGCATTCACATTTTCAGAGCAATCTCCCCTGGAAATGAAAACAAAATACATTTTTTAAAGATATATTTATTTATGGATACAAGATCTCGGGTGTAGGCCAGAGGTGAGGGGAAGTGAAAGGATTCACCAGAGACAGAGTGGGGAGCAGAACAGGGATCTACTGAAATACACTGCTGAGGTAGCAGCAGGTGAGCAGGAGAGGTCTTCTGTGCCATGTGGGATCTCTCCCTGGCCCGGCATTGAATTCGTGCTGCAGGGGCTGTGGATAGCTTCATAGTGCTGAGACTTAAACTTTGTGCCACTAGGAAGGCCTGAAAACACAATATTTTTAATGAAGGGCTGTCCAGTATTCTGAGGCAGGAACTGCACTCAAGGTCTCGCTGTGCTATCTATTTTCTACACTGCAGGACCTCAAGAGGAAGAGGATGGGAATGTATAAAGGCAGATTATTTGTTAGAAATCCCTAGTAGGGCAATATTTGGAAGGCATATATAGACCTGAATGTCTCTTAAATATTTCATGTATAAATGCCCACCCAACCTTACTGCTGATGATAATGTGAAGTTGGGTCAGGTTCATAAACCAGAAGTTCAGACACTCCAAATCTAAGTTCTGTCTAATCTGTGCAGTGGCAAAGCATTTGTTTTATGTCTCTGGGCCTTGTTTGGTTCACATAATGAAGATCTTTGGTTCACATAATGAAGATCCTTTTAGTTCCATTTATCTTGAATGGCCTAGAAATGCCATTGTAGATATCAGTCATTATTTTTTGCTCAGTATGAATGAGGTTCCTCTGGACTGGAGAAATACCCACAAGCCCCTGACTCTAACGTGTGGTTGGCTGAGAATTCTCTCAAGGGAACCATCAGGTTTGGAGAAACAGAACAAATCATACTTGGCCCCATTCCCCATGGTGGAAAATTCAAGCCTTTTTTCATATAGTATGTAGCATTTTCTCTCAATTCTTTACTTAGATAATCTCAAAAATCCACATAAATTGTGTTGAATTTCAAGACTTATTTTGAAGTGGAAAGACCCCCCCCTCACCCCTTACTGCAACTGATATCCTCACAAGAACTGAAATCCTTGTTAGGAATTGCAGTGAAAAAGCTGAGTCAGGGAGATTCAATTCACAAGTGGGATTTTGTAGTCTCAACAACCTGTTTTGGATGCTCTGAAGTGCATCATTATTAGACACAAGAGAAGGGAGGGGAAAGAACTGGATTTGGAATCAGAGACCTGGATTTGAGACTTGACCTTCACAGTTATTGGATAAGTAACACTGAGCCAGCCACTTGACCTTTCTGAGATTGCAGATATATAAATCCAACAATTTAACTAGGAATAGATGATCTTTGGTTCCTACATGCTAGGAGAGTATTATTACTAAATGGGTAGCTTGCTCACTGTACAAAGGTTATCAAACCTTCTTCTTTGCAAATGAAATTGAAAAGGATTATATATTGGGAAAGCAGATTTAGATGTCTAGGGAACTCTGAGAGCTTTCTCTGGTAGGAGAAACAAAAAGGCAGCTCTTTAATCCCTTGTAAGAAATACCAGATATTGGGTTTGTTTTTCAGAGTGGTAATAGTTTTAAGGTTCAGATATACTCCAGACACTTGTTATTCAAAATGTGGTTGTGCAAGCATCATCCGGAAACTTGTTAGAAATTCATATTATCAGGTGCTACCTGAAATTAACTGCATCAAAACTGTATTTCAAAATGATCCCCTGTTGACACCCATACATACTGAAGTTTGAGCAATACTGTACTGACTTTCAGGAGCTGTAAGTAATCATCTTACATAGATTAAGGTAGCAACTTCTGCATTCAGTTAGATAACAATACATTGTGGGTAAAATGTGTTTATGGTTCTTGAAAATTGAGTGAAACTATATTGAAAACCAGTGGAAATGAGAGATACAAATACAGTATGAGCACTTCATTTGGGAAAAGAATTGAAAAAATCCTTCAGCTAACCATATGTGGGGTTCTTGGTAATTTAGTTCTTTATAACAGAAGGTGAATTAAAGATATTTTTAAAATACAGCATGATAAAGAACGTTAGGTTTCATAATATGGGAATGACAAATCCATAATTAATAGATTTAGATGAACCATTTTGTCCATGTTATAAATTTGAAAAAAAATGCTATTAATGCCACTATGTATATTACCTACATATATTTTTTAAATTAGATTTATCTTTTAGACTAGTTTTTGGTTTATTGAAAAATTCAACAGAGTATAGAGAGTTCTCATCTATTTCTTCCTTAGTTTCCTGTATTATTAGCATCTTTTCCTGTATTAGTAACATTAATATGAGATATTTTATATAATGAAACTGTATTAAAATATTATAGTTAATTGAAGTTCATAGTTTACATTAGGATCTACTCTTTGTATCGTATGGTTTTGTGTGTTTGAAAAATGTATAATATAATGCATCTATCAGCATAGCATCATACATAATAGTTTCACTGACCTAAAACTCTTCATTGTTCTGCCTGTTTATTCATCCCTTTCTCCCTACCCAAGTCCCTTACAACCACTGATATTTTTACTATCTCTATAAGTTTAGCTTTTTTCAAAATGTTACTTAGTTGGAATCATACAGTTTGTAACATTTTCACCCTAACTCCTTTCATTTAACAACATGCATTTGAGGTTCCTCCATGTATTTTTTAACTTAATAGCTTTTTTCTTAACTGCTGAACAATATTTCATTTTGTGGATGAACTACAGTTTGTTTATTCATTCACCTACTAAAGAATGTCTTAGTTGCTTCCAATTTTTGGCAATTATGAATAAAGCTGCTATAAGACACTCATGTATAGGTTTTTCTATGGACATAAGTTTTCAACTCATTTGAGTAAATAACTAGGAATGTGATTGATGGATCATTTGGTGAGTATATTTAATGTTTTAAGAAAGCATCATCCACATTGGCCCATTTTACTTACTTACCAACAATGAATGAAAGTTCCCTTTGCTTCATAAACTCACCAGTATGTTATTATCAGTGTTCTTGATTTTAGCCATTATGTGTGCTTTTTTTGTAATGAAAGTAGCATAAGTTTATAACTATAAGAATAATAATGATTAGTATTAGTTTTTACATATAGTTATCAAATTATCCATGTAATTTAAATGCCATAGAATTATGTGATGTGCACAAACATACACATATGTGTGTTATTTAAATAATAAGATGTCAGTTATAGGATGGACTGAACACCAAGAACATCTAACAGACTTTTGAAAGGCATCTTTAACTAAACAGTTGATTTTTTTTTTTCCTTTGGGCTGGCTAGAAGTCATATTTATTTGTTGCCTAGTAACACATTTAATACCTTAGGGAAGGATTGTTTCTTCATGCAGAACTTTCTTCTTTGCCTCTTACCACTGAGGTCATTCTGTGCATT